AAAAGGCATTTTTTTTCCTTTAAATATTTAGTACTAGAACTTTACAACTGAATTGTAAAATACGTATTTTTAGAATTTACAGTAAATTCAATAGTGTTCTTTTTTGGAGGGGAAGACTGTAATTGATACTGCAAAGTTAATATCCTTTTTTTAATTTCATGAGCAAAGAGCAAAATAGTGATTACCCTTTTTGTAGTCTGATTGTCTGGCTTCTTCTGTGGAAAGTCCTGGTCATAAATGTTCATTTCTGAAGAACTATTAAGCACAAGCATTCCCATGCTCTCATATTTTCAACACCTAATCAGCCAGCCTGACTTTGTAAAAAACACTAGATTATTATTTACTTACCTATTAGAGATTTCAGCAAAGCATTGATGTGCTTATCAGGCAAGTCTTGTAATTTTATGCAAGAAACAACACACTATCATTATAAATGTATTAAGGATTTTACTGTGTATTTGAGGAACTTTACAACTATATGAGGAAAGTAATAAAGCAGGCTTCTCAGTACATTTTCAACATGACTGTATAATTTGATGTGGAATGAAAGTGCTAGTTAGTTACCACTTTAAAATGACTAATATTTATGTCTATTATTGACCCCCAAATTCTCATAGATTAGTCAATTAATAGCTATGTGTTTTCTTCTGGGATTAGCAGAATTAGCAGAAAATTATGGTATAATATTCAATTTTATAAAAAAGTGTTAACTTTATTCAATTACTAGTATTAATACTTTGGCTTCCATTGTCCCTGAAATGTAATATGAAATAAACAAGAGTTATCATTCCAGTGTTTTGAGGATCTGTATTTTAATGTAGTCTCTAACTTTAAAAACCATCATAAAATAATGGCATACTAAAAACATAGCTAAGTTATACAATGGGAATACAATTAAGGCATAAAAGGCTTTCTTTTATCTACATTAGGAGCTACTTCATTGAAATTTGAAATTTCTCAGACTAAAACTTGTGTAGCCAAAAAATAATAATGCAATTATTCCATATTTACAATTAATTATCCTTAGCATAAATGTTCTCTCCTAGAGATACTTGAAAAAAAGTGTGTGAACTTTTGTGAAGTTTACTATGAAACCTTTTGTATCTCTTCCAAAGATTAACTGGGGGATGACTTTAATAATAATTTGAAAGTCAAACAGCTGATGTCAATTCCAAAGCTCATTGTTTCAACTTTTTTTTAAGCTGTTATTTTTAAAAATCTAGCTACATATTGTTTTCCTAATTGAAATGTCAGAAAGTCTTTGAGCAAGTTCATTAGACTTTCAAAATTGCCACCATGGTTATAATTGTAAGGCAAAAGTGACCTTACATCACATACAGTAACATTAAGTTTGGAATATAGTTACAAAACTTCCGTAACATTTGTAGAGTAGCAGACTTCGTAAGAGACCTCCAGTCCAAAGTTAATAATGTAAAAACAATTTCTGAAATTCAAGTAGTTTGTCTATTTATTTATTAATTTTTATTTATTATTGTGAATCAGTATAGAAGTTGTACTGATTGGGATTATTCCTTTAGCAAACAGCTTCAAAATAGGTCTCTTGGTAAATTGTCTTAAGTGAAACTGCCTTTCTGTAAGAACTGTTTTCATGGGGCAGAGTCCCTTTATGACTGAAGCAGGGTTGTGCTTTACAGAGAGCTGAGATGCCCTGACAGAGCAGTTGCCACCCTGCCTCAGTGGGCTCTACTTCTGTAGAATGATAATTGGTTTCTTGGAAGCAAGGAATTAATTGCAGATAAAGGCTGTGTGTTTCTTCACAAGAAAACTGCCTATCCATTAGTAAATCAATGAAAATTTTACTGTACTGAAATCAGAGTGCAGTTAAGAAAACATTCTCAATCCTTACTTTCATGTGTTTCTAATTTTCTTTTAGAATTTCTGTTTGCATTTGTGCGAGTGTGCGTGCTTTTCTTTAGACCTAGCTGAAGGGTGAGTTTTGGAGCAAAGCCCAAGGAAAAACCTTTTGGCTATTTTTTTTTTTTAATTAAAAGCATATTTTAAGTGTTTAATGTAATTTGTTAAATAAATTGTTTGAAAATATTGCTATATAATACCACGATTTAAACCAAAATATTCCTTTATACATTATACTGCAGGGTTTATTCCTTATACAAATGATTCAGTTTAGACTGAGTGCAGAAAAAAAGCCAGGTATTCTTGGGTACTGATGCTACCATTTTGCTTTTTTTCCTGATGGGAAGATTGTCCAAGTAAACTCACGTTGGTTTAGTTTCCCCATCTGTATAATGTGAATAAAACTTACCATCTTACAGGAATGTGTGTAATTTAATATTTATGCATCAGTTTGAAGTTCATCTCTAAATCAATTCTGTAACCCAAACTCCAAAACGTGTGGTTGGTAGAAGACTGTGAGACACACCAGTATTTTCTGGAAGGACTGTATTTTTCTCTACCTATAAAATACTGTGTTTGAGCTGGATGTGTTGTCTTTCTATATCATCAAGCCTGATGGAGCAGTAGGGTATAATGTGATGACCAACAGAGAGTTCTCATGAGAACAGGCTAGACACTGATGTACAATGAGAGAGAAAACTGAAGCATTCTCAAGGCACTCTCTGCTTGGCTGAGAATGTTAAAAAGAAACCATGACCCATGAGCTAAGTCCAGGAAAAAAAAAAATACTTTCTTCATCTGTATAACATCAAGGTTGCCAGGCAGCTCAAAAATCACTCTGCAAAGCTCAGATGTGGGAGTCCCCCCGAGAAAGTGGAATTCTGGCTGCCTGCAGAGTTTGCCCATCTTGGGAACAAATTTGAAGAAAAGGAGGTGACTTTTTGAGAGAAGTCACTTCCATTCTGTGTAAAACCAGGGAGAAATGTCCTGGCTAACAATCTTAACAGCAGCTTTCCAATTGTCACCAAGGAAATGAACTTCTTCTCAAGTAGGTCTGCTTGCAGCAACTTTATTACATATATCTAGACACCATTACTTCTTCATAGTCTAATTTTTCTTACCCTGCAATGCTTGGTAGCAGGGATGCAATTTCTGAACTGTTAATTGCATAAATGCATTATAGGAAAAGAGCAGTCCTGCAGCTTTTTGATACTCATAATTACTGCTTTCCTACTGTTTCAGAGAAGCAAATGTCATTCTGGAGAAAATGAGCATCTAATTATTTTGTAGAGAGCACCTCTCTCTGTTGTATCTGAAGTGTAGCTTTCATGGAGTTCAAAAATCTTACTGTGATTAAATTATTGTCCAGTATCCTGATGAAATGAGAAGTCTTCAATTTACAGGTGAGGAGCTGGATCTCAAGAATAAAATCCTTAATACAAAAAATTGCTCAAGCTTGTTACTGATCCCTGGTGTGCTAAGCTGGCCCATTGATATGTGCCTGAAACAAATGCCTTTTTGGCCAGTCAGGGATATGGTGATTTCTCCAAATTTTCCATTCAGTAAATTATAACACTTCCTTTTCAGTATAGGATATCTTTTATTGTTGGAGTTTTGGAAGTTGGAAAAAAAGTGCAAATACATTGTAAAGGAACAGTTATATATATTTCCTCCTGGAATAATGTGATAGCAACTTTCCTGCGCTCTTTAAAACAAATGGAAAAACAGAGAAACTGGAAAAAGCTTCCGTGTCAAGGCTGGTGTTGCCTGTGTGTTTGGAGGATAATTCATTGTTACTGTTGTAGAGCTGAAAAGCCACTGCATGACTTGCAATGAAGCAACTGACACAAGTTGTGCACACTAGAATATTATTAATTGACTGTATTTTGAGCCAATATTCATGCTCTAAATTTATGAAAGTACTGAAAAATACACAGATCACACAAAACATGAGTTGGAAAAGATTCACTACTCAAATTTCAGTTTTTGCAAAGTATTGTCTTAGGGCATTTTTTGGATACTATATGCAGTGAATGAAATCCAGGCCATGCTGGAGGGAAGGCAATACTAAATTTTCCACAGGACCTGGATTTTATCCAATATGTACTATATTTCAGTATAGAATCAATATTACAAGTTAATTATCTAAATTAGTTCAGACTGACCATGTCTTACGTCTCCTAAACAATAAATTATTTAGGTGATACCCTGCTAAAAAGATCAAGGTGATCTACTATGGTGGATGTATTTTCTTCTCTGTTCCAATAACTAGAACCTATAAGCCATGGAAAGACTCAGAATAGATAATAAATGTAAAGCCAGGAATTAATAAGTGAACCAATATATAACACACTATACCTGATATCTTATTTGTTTTAAAAATCCAAATAACAACATAAAACCTGTTTGAAAATATGTAACTTACCAGTGGGTAATTTCACTGGTTCTTTGGATGTATTTGTTGAATAGAGTATTTGCTAACAGACTTTCTCCACTGTTATTACTATCTATCATCAATACTCTTGCATTATGCTCACAAAATAATAATTGCAATGAGGTGATGTGTGTTTGCTCAGGTAACAAAGTAGAATACGTAGGGATGGATCTGATTTTCAAGTGGTAGTATAATGTAACTAGTACGACGAGTTCCTTGCTTTCAAAGAGAATGAAATAAATGAACTGTGAGTTTTATAGCCGCACACTATCCCCGCATACCTTTGTTATGAGAATCAGTGCCCTTCACATAAAAACGTCCTAAACAAACCCGTGTTAGCTTATAGCCAACTCTCGCCAGTGTGAAAATTGACAATGGTTCCTTTAAACTAGAACTTTACGAGGCTCTTTTCCTTCTTGTACTTCTTACGGAAAAATTCGCAGGCAGAGGTGCACTGCTGCCTTTACCAAACCGCGTTGTCCCGCAGCGGCAGTGAAACCACGCCGAGTTCCCCTGCCCTCCCCAGGCTCCGCGCTGGCCCCGGGGATGCCGCCGGGGCGCGGCACCGGGCCGGGGCTGCGCTCCCCGAGCGCGGCCGCGCTTCCCGCGCTGCGCGGCGCGCCCGGGGCGCTGCGGGCGGGGGGCGCGGGCGCACATTCCCACATTCCCACATTCCGATGCGGTGAGGCAGCCGCGGCCCGGCCCGCCCCCGCCCCGGCCCCCGCTCGCGGGGCGCGCACGGCGATGGCGCTGGACCGGGTCCAGCCGCGCGGGACGGCGCCGGTACTCCGCGGTGCGGAGGCGCGGCGCTGGGGCGCTCGGCCGACGGCGCCCGTTGGCGGGAGGTAGGAGGGAGCGCTTCCGCGGGCGGCTCCGGCTGGCGGCTCCCAGCGGCGGGACGGGACCCGGGACGCGCTCTCCGGCTCCGGGAGTCCCCTCAGCGGGAGCCGCCGGGTCCTTCAGGGGCAGCCGCGCGCACGCGGGGCCGGGGCCGGCGGTTCCCGCTGCCGCACTTGCGGAGTGCTGCACCGCGCCTGAGGGAGCGCGGGACTGCCCAGGGCAGGGCAAGGAGGAGCCGCCGCATCCCATCTGCCTCGCGTGCAGGGGATGATCCTAGCGACCCGTCCCGAGGGCAGCCATCCGGTGGCAGAAACCCGCTCTCCGCCACCGAGGAGGGGCGGTCCCGGGGCAACCCTCCCGGGCGGCCCCGCGCCCTCTGTCCGCGGCTGACTGAGCCGGCGGCGCTGCCCCGCGCCCCTCCCCAGCTCTCCCCGTCCCTGCCGGGCCCGGCGGGGCGGTGCGCGCCCGCAGCCCCCGCCCCCGGCCCGCCGGGGAAGGCGCCTCGCTCGCTCCGCCGCCCCGGGCAGCGGCGGCCGCGGAGCCCTGGCGAGGCGGGGGCGGCCCCGTCCCGCAGAGCGCTCCGCCGCCGCGGCCCCGCCGCCGCTGGAGTCACCGCCGACCCGAGGAGGAGGACGAGATACCGGGGGCACGCTGAAAGGTGCGTCCCCTGCACACCCCCGCCCGCTCCCACGGGCTCTTTCCCTGACTCCCGAGCGTGGTTGGCTCTCCTCTGGCTCTCCGGGGCCGGCTCCCGGCCCCCACGGCTCTCGTGGCCCCGGGGGTTGCCGAGGGCTGCCCGGGGCGGGCGGGGGCTCCGCTTTCGGCCATGTTCCGCAGCCCCCGCTGCCCGCGCCCTCCCCGCCGGACCTTCGGCTTAAGGGTTCTCCTTCTTCCTCCGGGAGGGTTCAGGTAAACCCCAAATGCGAAAGAAAATTGGGGTGGGCTGCCCTTATCCCACATGCTAGAAATTGTTCTAAACTCATCGTTCACTTTCTCTCTTCCACTGCGATTGTACAATCAGTTGTAATTTTCACGTTTAAGTCTGGCAAAATTGAATCGAAGATTGGTGCAGCACATCGGAGATGTGGCGTTGGAAGCAGCCTGTGGCTGTAAGCGATGCGGGTGCTGCCTCTCTGCCCCTCAGCAGGTCTCTGCTCTTTGGGGGTGCTGCAGGCCCTGACACCCAGGCGTGAAGGGGCAGTGCATTCCTCCCAGCTCCAGACTTCTCTTTGCCCCACTTGCTGAAGTGTTGTTGAGTTAGAAAGACTCAAAGTCTGCAAACACTTAGAGAAGTAGTTTCGCTGAAGTGTTTGTAGGATCAGGACCAAAGTGTCTAGGTGTAATGCTTGTCTGTTCTGCTGCACCCTCTTGGGATGCCACCAGCACAGGTGATAAAGGGAAGAGCCTATACAGGTGACTGTGAACTGGGCTTCTTCTGATAAAAGAAATGAAAGAGCTGGATTAAGAGTGGTAGAGAAATGCCTGAAGGATCAGCTGTACTTCAAGGAACAGTAAAATGTTTTGTTTCATAGTGAGGCATTTGTGTAAGGAGCAGAATTGGCCTTCTTGTTGTATTTATTATGCTAGAAGTTTGATTAAAAAGTTTTCAAAATATTTCCATCCACTATGTATGACAAAAGTTTGCTAAATATTTCCATCCTTTACATTTGTATATTTGAAAGAAGATCAGAGAACCTGCCAATTATGAAGCAGCCTCTTAGTAATCATTTCAGAGTGATGACTATTATGTCGTTTAAGAAATCATGTTTTTCCAGCTACAAATAGTCATCTTTGATCTGTGCTATCACATCCCTTAGAAAGTCAATGGCAAACAACCAATGTTTGTGATAGTTTCAAAAACACCACAACAAATATGTGAGCAGGGAAACATACAAGGTGAAACCAGAAACAGACACCGTTTTGTGTAGTAGGAAGTGCTCAAGAAATTCCCAAGGCATAATGGACATGTATGCCCATCTGCATAAATTTGCAGAGGATTTCTAAAATCTTTCTTTCTTAGTCATCTAAATAGAATTCATTGGTGCCATATTGAGGTAGTAATCTCAGATCCTGTAATGAGTTCATTTGTGTTTTCATACATGGTAAAGTTTGTTATTAAGACTTTGTGACTGTAGACGCAGTGCAGTTCCTGTCCTCTCAGTTAACATTAATTTAATGTGATATATTTGATGCAATGAAAGTGTGATGTTCAAGCCAGAGTTCCAAGACACTAAGAAGGAAAAGAAATACCACAAGGTAAAACTTCCATATCAAGAAACATGAAAGCCCTACTGCAGAATAAAGAATTTCTCAAAACTCTGTTAACTGGAGATCATAGAGCAGATTCATGGAGATGATACAGTAATTTGAGATCTGGGAGATTTGTAATATGAGAAAAAGAAATTCTTTGTATTTAGGTTATCTAAAAGAATGTGATGAAACAATTTGAGCACTATTTGTAAGTATCCATAGAAGTATTTCTTTTATCAAAGGGCTGTTTTATTTAAGATAAATATGGATGTTAAGATCCGCTAGTGACTAGAACCTGCACGGAAATCCAATATAGGAGCAAGGCACATATTGAAAAGTGACAGCTGTGACTGTTCATGAAAGACTGCAGATTTATAACCACTGGAAACCTTTTGCTTAAGTTAGCAGCTCTTCCTTCTCTTTTGGAGAAAAGCAGCTATAATTTAGCAATGGTTCTTGGATTTGAAATGAGAATTAGTTAAAGAAAAGCTTCAGTTACTAAGGAGGCAAAAAGTAATTAATCTATTATTTCATTAGAATGCCATGATTTGCATAGGGATTTTTAAATTAAACATTAAACTAAGGGTTTTTTTAGTGATAATCTTAATTTATGTGCATATTTTCAAAAGCATTTATTTAGGAGTGTTTTATTTTAGAGCAATGATGACCAGTATTCTGATACTGGTTGTCATTTTGTTTCCTATTTCTACAGCACTTGTACAAAACAGATTTTGGCTCATGACTGACTCTTAAATGTTATAAATGACAATGATATGTGTTACTAGCAATAATTCACGTTATTTGTTGTTGTTGTTGTTGTTTATATACTTCTTGAAAATACCAGTAACTGCAAAGTTGGAACGAATCATGCAGCTCCAGCATGGACAGACTTACTCTCATGCCTGTTCACAATGCAGCCATTGATGGTTTCATTGAGCAGTGGCTATCATTTTATTGTGCAGACAGCAGGTTAACAGCTGTCTGTACCTTTAATATGCAGTCTGATTCATTTGTAAATAACATTTTCATCATGTCTCTCTTTTAGGAAGCTGTTAGCATGCTAGCATTAAATCCATGCTTTCCTTAATTTTGTCCCTTTCTGAGCCTTCTTAATCGTTTAGAAGAGAGGTGTTGCTCATGTACTAGAGGAGCTGCATGACTGAGTACATATTATGTGAGAGCAGTCCAGCTTACTCTGCATACTGCTTTATTTGTCTTGGCAAACCTATATATATATATCTGCTTGTGGGTAGGGTTTTCCATAGTCATGGTACTGCCAGATCTTGGTCATATTTCACTCCTTGATTTTTTTTTTTGAGCAAAACATCTATCTGCTGAAACAAGACTTGTGTTTAAGAGCTGAGGATAAAGTGCTGACAGACTTTCTATGAATTTCCTATATTGGGAGGTCTCTAATATTTTTATTTCATTTCAAGGCACACAATTTTGGTTTGACTTGAAACAAAGAAGTCCATTTGTAAGTATGTCAGTGTGGGATCAAAGTCTGGTCCTCTGATTTCGCATACTCTGTCATGCTGACATCTCTGTGCAAGACATAATTAATGTCACTGATTTTAAACTAGGCCATCCACAATACTTTCTTCTTAACTGCCTAGTCATTCATAAATAATCCAACATGTTCAAGCAAGAGCTCGATGTGGCAGCACTTACTGAAACCTGGTAACAAGAGCTAAGAGGAACGAGCTCAACTCCCCACCAGAATTAGCCTTCTTCCAGGGCTCCAGTTTATCAAGTGTCAGTGACAGTGCCGCAGGTAATACCAGCTCTTTCAGTAAATGATTTAGAGCAGCAGGACACAAACCCTGTGGAGTATGTGACATGCCCCACTGAGCTGCCTCCTGCATTATTTACATCCAAAACTCGTGTGTACTTGGCTGAGCATTGGGGATTGAGACAGTGCAGGCTTGAGTCTTTTAGGAGGAAGTGCATTCTGTGGGCCAGTATAGATACTGTGGCATTTTATAGTAGTTCGAGGCATATCATAAAGGTTTAAATAGGCTGTCCACTGTGGGATACTTTTTATTCTACATTGGTATCAGTAACTAATATTTAATAACTTGTTACAATATTTTCAGTGGTGCCTCCTCATTTAAAAAAAGAGTATACTATTGTATTTGACAGTTGTAACATTTCATAAGTAATTAAAAAATTAAATGCTCAGGCATTTGAGTGTTCTTTATGTTGCTTCTTTCAATGTTTTAAATGAGACACAAAAAACCAGAAACACTGAGAGCAAAGTTGAAGCTACCATTTGAAATATTTTTTGGGTAATGGTTTTATTCTGTTAGTATGCACAAGTGCTGCATAACTTGCATCTAATAATAGTATGTTTTCTTAAACAGATGACTCTCCAGTTGCATTGACCTTGCCTTGTGTAGTAGGACCTTGCTGTCTGCTGTTTCAGACAATGCTCTGATGTGAGATCTCTCCTCCCACAGTATTTTTCTCTGTCTGTGCTACAGCATACAACAAGAATGCTGCTGCAGTGATCTTTGGTATTTGAGGTTTTTGTTATACTGCATCTTCTTTCAAACATTTTCATAATGCATTCCTTTACTCCAAGTACAAAACTCTGTTGCTTGGATTAGGTTAATTTCTTTCTGTAGTGGTACAAATACCTTTCAGCAGTGTTTTGGGGAAAACCAACTTGGTTTGCTTTTGGAATTTAGCAAGATAAAAAGGGATCATACCAGACCAGCTACTGCTTTGTGCACTACAAACAGTTCACATCAAAGAACTACCTGTAGATTTCTTTTCAAGGAACTTTCTTGATGTGAATGCCTCCTTTTTTATTCCTTTAGAGTTTTGGATTTTTAGCTCTGTACCAAATTGCAAGGGAAAAAGAAAACCCAGTGTTGAAATAACCAGGCTGGTTTGCATTTTGAAGATGGTATTCTGCTCCTATTCTAATTCTAAGTAATTTTCATACTCCGACATTTTTCAAAGATGTATTTTCTACCAGTTAGCTATTGTTCAATGTGGCAAGTATGTTAAAATGCATTTATATCAGATTGTTGCCCATTGGTGGGCAATTTCTACTAACTAACTGTTTAGTATTTTTCTAACTTTTTCTAGAAGAAGTCACACTTCTTGTGACTTTCAAGTGTGTCAGATGTTCTATGAGTATATACATTGTTTCTACTGAAAGCAGGGAGAAAATAACCTCATTGCAGGTATTTCTTGTGAAAGCTTTACGTTTGTGATCAATCAGTGTGCACCCATTTTAGTTCAGCACACTTACACGGGAAGCAGTAAACACAGAGTAGTATCTCCGCAAGGCTGGAAGCCCCTGGATTTCTGACTGGCAAACAGGCTGAGTCCCTGCTTGGTTCTGCAGTTCACATTCACTCCTTAGCTGTGCCACAGCCCATGGTTTTCTAACATATT